TAAAGTATTTAAAGAAACATTATAGAATTATAATTTAAAGTTAATTTACTTTTCTAATTGGTCGCCTAATACTGATGCTATGTGTTCGTCTAATGTCGTATACAAATCTGTTTCAACTAAATCCCTATGCCGTCCTATTTTTAATAGGTTTGACATCCAGCTAAATAAATCATATGATAATTTAAAAATCAGTATCATCATAAATAAATTTTTTTTTTATAATTATGTGTATAAATAATTCAAACTATAAAAAAACATTTTTATACATACATTTTATGAACATGTATTAAGGTAAAGGTACCTTATTGGTAATAATAGCTTAAAAGTATAATATAATTTTGTATTTTTGTTAGTAGTTTATGTTTCAGAAAATTATGAAAAACAATGAAATTCTTATGACTTCGTAGGTACTATACACAATATATAAGTAATTTTCGTCGTAACGTATACAATATAAATTAAAATTTGCATCTTAGTAGGTTTAAATTTGTTTTATTGGTATTAGTGTATATTACAACATATTTCCTTTTGAATGATAATTTCTAGTAATGAGTAGTATTATGTAAAAACATATTATACTCAAATACCAATTATCAAGAAATGTAAAAAGACATCGGGTCTATAAAAAACCCGTTACCTGAGAGGTCAAATAGTTTTTTTTAGAACTAAATTTATGTTTGGTACATTGTAAGATAAAGTGGTAGAGAAGTAATATGAGCATTTGAAATATATTTATAATTGCCTGTGTATGTTGTGATGGGGTTGGACAATTTTCAAGAAAACGTACGAAGAATATTACTAGGACTTGTCCTTTTAACAGGTATAATATAATTTACTAATTTATATTTTTTTGTATGGAAATCACATCATTATATTTGAAATATTTAGTGGTTTTATACATTCAAACTACAAAACATTTATTTATTATTTTAGATTTCAGTAAGCTTATTATTTTAATTTATTTACCTAGATGTGATGATTTCAAAAATATTTGCATTACATCTTGGGTTGTGTGGACGTTCTATTTTAGTATCTGCCTTTGGTATTTCTCTTAAATAAATAAAACAATTAAATACAAATTGAGTTGATTATTACTTATTACTGTTATTAGTTGATATAGATATAATATTTGAATATATTTGATAACTTACTTGTACATAATGTTTATAGTACGGTTGAGTAATTTGTACTATGATTTCTGATGAATGCTTAGTTAAGAATCATATTATTTCGATTAAAAAAAAATATTAGTGTAGATACATGCAGGTTGATTGCCAAGTAAGTAACTGAAAGTATAACCCACTGATATTTTCCACCTCCCATAAGTCATAACTAGTTTTATTCGTAGAATCTAATCAGTATTCATAATCCAGAGTACAATATAATAAAGATTGTATTCAGTACACACTAATCATTCATATTTTTCCTTTAGGTATACATTTATGATTTATATTTAAATACTGCCTTAAGGAATATAAATTAATAGATCCTTGTGTATGGTAATGTAAAATAAATTGAAATATTAAATTATTATTATTTTCTTTACAACTATTTTCAAAGGCATGTTTTTGTTTGTCACATGGCCGTAAATTATCGTTTCTCACAAAGTAGAACTTTTAAGAATAGTAAGTACTACTGGTATAGTTGTATCTTGTATGAGAGTATATAATATAATTTATTATAAGTTAAGAAAAACCTTATTTTTAATTTCAATTTTTGAATACAATAGCATTTATGTAAAAATCATCTTTACCAATACTTCGCTATCAGCATTTCGACAAGATAGTTCTCAGTTCTTATTAATACATAAAGTATTCTAAAACAAAATCTATAATATAAATATATTATAATAGTTTTAAAGTGAAAACATTAATATAGTAAAGTAAAATGTTTTGTACATTTAGTTTATCTAATGATGTTCAATAAAATATTAAAATGTATAGTTTCATCATATTCTAGCTCCATAATGTGATTAATACTAAATCCAGTTTTCAGTCTTTCCGTTGAATATTTGCTTCTCAAACCTGCTATAAGTATATTACACAATCAAGTATTCTAAAATACCCGTTCATTTTCCAGTTTACCCAAACTGCGTGTCTTTATCGTACATTCCTTCGTACATATAAACATCAGAATATTCAGTACCTTTTTGAGTACAATACTATGACGATTATATACTACCTAAGATCGATTTTTATTTTAAAATTTTAATTATTAGGATCTGTCACTCAGTCACTGTGATATTAAACTTTTTTTATAATACTACTTAATAAGTGTTTGTGAATTTTAATTTCTTCTATGAGAGTGGAGTTGTGGTGCATATGTTTTTGGCCCCCTTTCAAGTACCTTGTGGCTTGGTCAATATATATGTATTATAATAAATACAATACATAATGTATAAATGTATGGTATGTTCGAATGTAGATACGGTTTATTTAATTTAAAGTTTTATATAAGAGTGGTGATTTAAACAATTATTTTAAATATTTTTCTGTGCAGAATTAATATACATCAAAAGTCTATAATAATTAAATAATATTTATGTACGTATGTAAAAATGTACCTGTAAACCTCTTATATAAATATTAATAATTATCATTTAAATATAAATAATGTGTAGGCAGGTCAATATGATACGATGTGTAGGATTCAAATTATTAATTTAACTACCAGAACGCCCGAACGAAATCATACTTAAACACAATCTCACTCAAAGAAGCACTCAACTACGGAGAAGAAAAAAGGATATTAGACTTCATCAAGATAGCCGATCTTTCATCGAACATTTAAAACAATGGATCAACAATACTTCACACAAGCACAATCGAACATATCATAAAAAAAAAAATGTAACCTAATTTTGTAAATCATTGTAGGCTAATAAATGTTGTATGATGTTCAAATTATTTTTGCAAATTGGATTGTTGTAGGTCTATAAATAAAGTAAATTAGGTACTGTAAATTTTATTGATTACCACAAATATATGATTTTGTTGAATATATCAATTGGTTTTCATTATATGTATTGTTGAGTGTTTGTTATGACTTATTTTTAGCTATATTTATAGATATTTAAAATTTAAATTACATATTTTTCGTTAGTTATTTTTTAAGCATATATACCTGTACATATTATAAATGTATATGATTATATGATCTTACAATTATTGGGCCATCTATATCATAATATTTATGGTTAAGGGAATAAATATATGTTTAAAATATTTATTGGGGCTCGGTCATGAGATGTGTGAGAATTAAAATATGATAATTTAAGCTCATCAGAGGTCTTAATAATGTTTTTCGATTACATCGTGCAGTGAGGCGTCATGCTCGGTATATTTGTTATAGTAATTTGGAATTAATGCATCTTGTCGGGGATTTGTATCATAATATTATAGTTTTGATATTATAAAGGTTGATAATATGATACATCGATTTAAAGGTACAAGCACAATATTAAGATACAGATACTTACTTCCCTCGTCGTTTTATTTTGATAAAATAATATCGAGAATGATCAAATACAAAATCAGGGTCATATAACTAAATTTTAAGTGAATCATGAAGATAATCTTATGTTTCCGATTCCGCAATGTGTGCAATGATATTTTTATATTTTTTTTGTATGAAACAACTATAATAATGTAACGACTTAGTACGATAAAATAACATATTCGTGGCGATGGCGATCAGTTCCTTGTGACAATAAATGTCTTTGACCTTCAATAGAAAGTCAAAAACATACATAAAAACTGTGTATAATTAATTTTTATTTTAGTGTTCGTACACAGATTTTAACGTTTTATAGAAGAAAAAAATGATTTAAACTTTAACTACAGAACAGATTAATTTAAAACTGTTGAAAGCGAACCATTTTGAAGGGGTTGAATTTAGGCAATAATCTATATTTTTCGTGAGTCATGTACTGTGACTGTGTGTGTAGTAACTGATCATTAGTGTGTGTGAGTTCTTCGAAAGCTTTATGAAATTAAAGATAAACTAAGGCTAAGATTTTTAGAAATCAATAACGTACATACGCCCAGTCACATGTCACTACATTTTGCGATCAAAAAAAGTTTCAACATAAAAGTCCCAAAAAGTGAAAGAAAAATTCATCCAGTACCAAAAGACCGATTTTAAATTTGAAAACATATTTGAATTTCTTGTTCACTTTTCTAGGTTATTTAGGAAATGGAGTTTCGATCATTTGGAATTGTTTAGTTAATATGGAACAAAATGTATTTTATTTTATTTTTAAAATCCACCTTTACTTTAGTGTTACTAAAAAAACATCGAAAATCCATTTCCTACATAATCTAGAAAAAAGAATAAGGAATTCAAATATTTTTTCAAAATTATAATTGGAATTCTGGAAGTATAATATTTTCTTTTGCTTATTGGTCGAAAATTACGAAACAACGTCGAAATAACGACTATCTTTCAACAGCCTTAACTTTGTCTGATTTTGGTTCTGAGAAAAAAATTCGAATTCAGTAGAAGAATGTTTGTAAATCGTACGAAACACTTTCCATTTTTAATTTTAATTTTGATTTGAAAAAGTTGATTATTTTAAGTTTTTAATTACAATTTAAAATAATTTATAAAACATTTAATTTTTACAAAGTATTCCGTACAATATCTAAACAATTTTTAGTAGAGTAAAATTTTTTTTTTGAGAAAAAAAACCGACAACGTAAACTAACTTTAATTTTGCCAAAACTAAAAGTATTTTGAACTAAAATTTACGGCAGAACCTACTACCTAGGCCACTTAAGACCAATATGTAACTGTTGCAAGGCAATGACCTCAGATGTTGAAATCTTGCGTATCCAATAAAAAAAAAATTTTTCTTTATCAATTATTGTTCTTCAATATCTGTCTTTTATCATTTTACTTCATCCGCATCAAGCTTGGTGCAATTCACAAGGTAATACTGCAATAGTCTTCCTAATCCCCCCGTTACACCTTTTTATTTCGTATTTAATCTCATCTATTAATTATTACCAAGACTGGCTTCCGTTTTTTTTAATTTTAAAACATCTATAAACCATTACAAACATTAAGTAGTTATTATAACTATATAGTTGGTATATCTCATTTACCATTTACTTAAAAATAATATTATTTAATGAGCAGATACTATTGTACAGTTTTAAATGATTTGAAATGTAATGAAGGCTTAAAATAAATACAACATTTTAAATTGATTAATCATCCCTCATCCATTTGCCGTTTCAACCTTGAAAGTTAATGACAACAATTAGAGGAATTAAAACAATTTTTATGAAAAGCAATATAGTCAGTGAACAGTGAGAAATGAGATATTAAATAACAATTTTGTAAATAATTCTATACAAATAATACTTGTTGTAAAACACTATAGTATGAAATAAATATATGCAGCGTGTATAATACCATGCACCCATATTACGACATTATACAAACCTACATCACTGTATATAATAATAATATAGTTGTGATTGAATACAACAGTAAATAGAATACTCTGACTTCTTCAATAGGTAATTTAATTGCTGTTAGATTTCTTCATTAACTTGAGGCTTGGCTTTTTTAAAACTCTAAAATAATATGGTACAAAGATTTTTAGTAATATAATATAAATTGAAAAACGAAATGTATTTGGTGATACCTCAGATGCCACATTATGTAAAAGGTAAGCCGTATCCTTTCCCGTCTGTTCAACCATTTTGTAGAAAAATCCATTAATGTTTTTCAACAATCTATATGGATGGTCAAATTCAATTATTTTTCCAAAATCCATTACTAATACTTTGTCAGAGTCCATAATAGTATTTAAACGGTGAGCAATTGTTAGTACAGTGCAATACCTAAATTTATTCCTAATTGTATTTTGAATCAACTTATCAGTCCTGTAAATAAAAATTAAGATGTGTGGGATTAAAATATACTTTTGGATAATAAAAGAAATTGCAATATTCGACATTTTTATTACAGCGGATCAACATTGGCAGTAGCCTCGTCCAATATCAGGATCTTATTTTTTTGTACTATTGCTCTAGCCAAACAAACTAATTGCCTTTGTCCAACACTGAAATTCGAACCACTCGCTGACATTTTTGAGTTTAAACCGTCGGGCAAGTCCTCTATATAGTCTTTGAGTTCTACCTATAATAATATTTAATGCATTAATAATTATTATTACACATTTTTCAGTTAATAATAAAATTAATATTTTGTTTTAAGTGAAATTATTTAGAACACATACTTCATCTAGAGCATTCCAAAGAGCATGATCCGGGTATTCGTCAAATGGATCTAAGTTTGTTCGCATCGTTCCGGAAAACAGTACAGGTTCTTGAGGAATAATAGACAACTTAGATCTGAGGTCTTTGAGTTCTAATTCGTGTATATCTACGCCATCAATGATGATTTTACCTTCATTCAGAGCTAATCTAAACAATGCTCCGATAAAGGATGATTTACCTGCACCAGTCCTACCAACAATACCTATCTAAAGAAACATAAAAAAAAATCATTATTAACCATCTAAAATAACTCTCAAATCACCTACTTTTTCCATTGTCTGAATTTGAACGTTTAGATCTTTTAATACATATGGCGAATCTGGGCTGTAACGCAAATTAAAATGTTCGAATACGATTTTTCCGGAATAAGGCCATCCTTTTGGTTTCGGTTTTTCTAGAAAACCAAATAATAATTTAAATACAAATTATTCATTTTACATAAAATAAATTATCAAGTTTTACTAGTAGAAGATTGAAGAGTTTCTTCTATTGGTAAATGTGTATATTCTAATATTCTTTCAACGTTTATCATTTGGTTTTCTAAAAATGTTGTTAGTTGTACTCCGAATTCGATTCTACCTATCAATGTAATCACTTGTGTAAGAGCTAGACCAACACTTCCACCGAGGACGTCTAAAATTAAATTATAATTCATTCATTCAAGTTACATCTTTATAATTCATCATAATATATCTACGTGTTTAACTTACTGTTGTCAATTACTAAAAAGCAGGATATCACAACACTCAAATAAATAATACAGATTATGTCCAACCAAAATCCGAATCCAAGACTTAAACAAGTACTCAAATGTGAAGCAGAGGAATGTAAATCCTAAATGTTATATTTAAAATATATTCAAACCATTCAAATAATCGTTATATTGAATTATTAAAAACGTGAAATAATATTTTTAACTTACTTGATGTTTATCAAATTCTCGAGATAAAATATCCTCTACTTTAAATGCTCTAATTGTTGTTAAACCTTGTAATGACGCATTCATATGAGCTAATACAGGACTTCGCGCTGTTTATAGTTATACATAACAATTGTTTTTAATTGAAGATAAACAATAAATACAAGGCATACATTCATTTGCAATTTACAATTTGAATATGACACTTACTTTCTCCTTCTAACCGTTGTACACTTTGCGATGTATTGAGATGAAAATATTTTAGTTTGTAAATGATAATTCCCGCGATAATGGTCGGTATTGAAAGATAATATAAACTAGTGAAAACAACAATAAATACACTTCCCAAACTTAATAAAGCAACCTATTAAAAAAAAATATCATAAATTTAAATTGTAGTAGAAAAAAACATTGAAGCATATTCTATAATTATTATTCTTTTATGTATTACTTGTATGCATTCAAAATAAATATTTGGTAAGTTTTTATCCACCGCTGACATGTCTTTAGAAAATCTGTTCAATATCTGTCCTGCATAAAATAAGATAATAATATATTTTATTCAATTATATGTAAATCACGTGGACAATTAAAACATTTATTACCTGAAGTATTTGTATTGAAAAAAAACATGGGGGTTCTTATAATGGAATAGAACATTTGATTGTGTAAATTTATTGAAGCGTTTGTAGTCATTTTGACGAAAATTGCAGATCTGATGATAACCGATACTATCAGGAAAATCGTTAATAAGACATAAATCATAAGAAAATATCTCTGGAATTTTGAGATCAATAATGATGAACTATATTTATCACGAGTCGCTGATGTATTGTTACTACAGCATGAAATATTCAATAATTTATGATATTTAAATTCTTCCTGATTTACCCTAAAAATAGTATAAACAGTTTACATAAATTCTTAAAATTATATTTCTATTGATTAATAGTTGAAGAATAGTCGTATGAATAGTACCAAATGCTAAGCCAGAAATCTCCACTCGTAGTTAGTACTTGAGTAAAAATGCAGAAAAAAATACCTAACAGTATGTTATGTATTCTTCCACCAGCCATAACGTATGATGTAAATATACTCTTGAAATTACATTTGTAAGACTGGATCTCTGATATTTTTTTAGGTTTTGATAATTTGCCATCACCATTTTGATTCTCGTATTTAGATGTTATAATTCTGTTGTTGGGTCCAAGCAGAGGAGAAACCACGAGTGATTGGGCACTATTATTTTTTATAGTAGTTGTTTCAGTTCCATTTTCAATATTATTATCGTTGGAAGATCCAAGTAAATTGGCAAAGTCAAAATTGCAAGATTTTAGATCTTGATAAGATCCTTCACTTACTATATTACCCTGAAAATAAAAATAAACAACAAAGCTTTAAGGTAAATATACTATTAAATTATCCAGCAATCTAAAGATTAAACACTTTAACTAACATTCTCCATTAGAACAATTTGATCAACGTCAGATAAATATTGTACTTGGTGCGTAATAAGAATACATGTTTTTGTTTTTAGATAGTCTGTTAATCAACAAAAAAATTTGCTTATAAGTGTTTATGCAGTTTAAAAATTTTTAAGTGTACCTAAAATGCATTTTTCAAATAAATGCTTGCCAACTCTAACATCAACAGCTGAAAGCGGATCATCGAGTAAGTAAATATCTGCTTGTTTGTACACCGCTCTGAAATAAACAATTAGAATTATTATTAAATAAAAAATTTTCGTTAGCTTTCTAGTGTATAATATTTACCTCGCTAAATTAATTCTAGCTCTTTGTCCTCCACTTAAGGTTATTCCTCTTTCTCCCACTACCGTCTCATCGCCAAGTGGAAATTGATCAAGATCGCTTTTTAATGCACATACATCAATAACCTATTTAGAAATCATACCGGTTAACTGTTTTCTTAAATTCTATTAAGTGTATAATGTTGAATACTATGACGTATGTTATACTTGTTTGAATCGCTCTTTGTCCATTGGCGATCCAAATAAAATATTTTGTCTAACAGACCCAGAAAATATCCATGGTTCCTGTGCTGCATAAGATACCACACCATTCACAGAAATTCTGCCTTCCAAAATGGGCAATTCCCGCAAAATTGCATGTATTAATGAACTCTGTATATAATGGGATATTTATGTGTTATGTTGTACAAAAAATATTAAAGGTTCTATCAACATTTTTTAAAATGAAACATCTGCACAATTTTTTTAATTAATCTGTATTTTGATTTGTTTCTTGTAATTACCTGTAGTAACGACAGTAAAAGAACCTCTTAGATATATGGTATTCACTATTTGTACTATATTCACCTTTCCGGCTCCTACTGGTCCAATAACTGCAAGCAATCGTCCAGGTATTACGGTTAAATTGATTTTTTCTAATGTGTTACTATTTTGATCATCTGTCCATTTTGCAGTTGCATTTAAAATAACTATACCATTATCTTTATCAAGTTCAGTTTCATTTTCCATATCTGTACAGTCGTTTTTAGTATTGTCATCAGCAATTAGTGATTGAATAACATCATTTTCCACTAGTGTGTCAGATTTCGAACAGCATTTTGGTATTTGATCTTTCTCCTCAAGTAATAAGAAGTTCTTAACAAAAAACGTGTAATTAGATTTTCTTTTTTAAGTGTACATTAACTTTGATACATCATTCATTACTGATATTTTGAAATAGATAAATATAAACATATTAGGATATACCTCGATGCGTTTAATGGATGCAATCAATTCACCAATGTACAACAAACTAGCACAGAACCTTACTGCCATTGAAAAATGCAATATAGTGTATAATGATGTAAGAACATAAACCTATAAAGAAATATTGAGTATAGATTATTTAATATAAATCAAATCATGAATAATAATAATAAAATAAAGTTAAGAAGACACTTATTTATTGCCTGGTATCAATCTTGCAAATGCACATTATACCAAATTTGTTTTAACAGAACCAGGTTTCAATACAAACATTATTTGGCTTATTATGTACATCGGTGTTGGTTTTCTTACGTTTTTCAAGAGTGTTATGAGTTATTAGTAGGTAACTAAAATTGTAAAATGTAATAATTGTATACTTACTTTGTGCACAGATATTTGATTTCCAAGTGAAATATACAATATGATACTGATAAATAATTGAAATTTTACTTGAAATATTTTAAACGATACAGACATTAATTTGATAAATGTCGATCCTTTAATCTGTTCAACTTCCAGCCTATTTTTTGGAAAACATAAATAATGTACTATATTTTATACAAATTTAAATATAGGTAACTTATTATACAACAGTATAAAACATACTTCCGCACATATTCTATAAGTTTACTAAAAGGTTTTTCCCACGTGTACATTTTGATCACTTGTATTCCCAAAATGATTTCATTCATTAGACGTATTCTCTCATCGGTCTTCTTCGCCGTCTTTAAATAGATTTCAGACATTTTTTTGCCCATCCAACCTGAAAATTAAGCAAGTCAAACAAAAAATCTACTACCAATCTTTAATAAATTGCTTTAGTTCATCGGTTAAAAATAATTTATTGTTATAAATAACAAACCTTGTAATGGAATAAAAAAAAAAAATGCAGCTATTCCAATTAATGATGACACTCCAATTTCCTGCCACAATAAATAAGTAACCACTATCGTTTGCAGAGGTCCAATCCACAAATAATGTAATTTATGTAATGATACGTCGAATTGATTTACGTCGTTCGATATCAAATTTATCATTTGACCAACAGTGGTTTCATCAAGAGCTTTATTACTCAGAAATAATGCCTAGGTAAAAACAATCATATACAATTATTTTTGGTTCGTAAAATGAAGATAAACAAAATATTTACGTGCTGGACATTAGTTGGTATTTTATAATTAATATTCTAATAATATTAATCATTTTCATACAGAATATTATCATTAGAGTGATCATCCAAGAAATATATCATTTAATATTAGGTATAAGTTATTTGTTTCGGACAACACTTAATTTCTTACTCTTCCATAACTGTTATAAAGTGCATACAATTATTTTTGAAATATTATTTTTGTGTAGCAGTCAAAACGTTGAATTCATATTTGTATATGCATCGGGATTTTACATACACAGCTTTTAAATTACCTCTATTACTGACAGATTGATGATACTTATTCACAACACTTACCGCGAGACTTGAGAAAAATAAAATAAAATTAATAGTTGAAAATCATGATGTCAAAAAATGTCACCAATCATTATTATTGGAGTAGAAATAATATTATTTTATCAAATGTACATACATTTTATCTTAATAGTGGTTTAGATAATATTATACTAATTAGAATACAGACAGAGCAGTGAAATGCAATTACCTTCTACATAAATGGAAAATGAAAAACTCACCGCATTGTGACTGAGGACAATTACAAACAATACAAACTATCAGACACGTTGTAGAAAAGTGTCTACAAACAAGATATAATGGATAATTAAACTGTCTAAGATTGATTCACCTTTAAATATATTTTCCTATATTATTAATATTAATATTGTTATTTATCATAGTTTAATTATTAATTATATTATTTCTTCTTTTTGTTGTTGTTGTTCTATTTAGGTATTTCAATTTTATGTTTTTGGTTCTGTTTTTTAGCAATATTTTAGCCGTATGAAATTTAAAAAAAATACAAGATGCCTCTTAAGTTTTTCCATCTTCATAAAAAAAATTTATAAGAATTTCAACATTTTACGACATTAGGTACCTATTTAGTGTTCACCCGTAAACTAATGATTTCTCATTTTCTTGTTTTGTTGTAATTCAAATATGAATAGCTACAGATACATAAAACATTCATCAAATGTTTACATTAGTTTTTTCTGTATATTTTCCAAATGATATTTCAAAAATATATCCTTTAAAACATTATCTATGGATCGTTGGCTAGAAATCACTGGTAAACACCTTTACGGTATAATAATGTTAAATTTAAAGAATATTTTATAGGTTTACCTTTCTGTAAATTATAGAACAACATGCAACTCGTGCCTTCAATGCTTCGTTTAAAACTTCTTGATCCGTTAAATAGTGTAAATTTGTTGTTATAAATAAGCTAAATATTAAACCAGATGCGCATATGTATGTATATATTATGTCAGCATTTTTGGTTTTATCGGGATTGAAGTATTCCAATAGTTCACCAATTAATATAGGTTGAGATATTCTGTAACAATGATGCAAATTACAAATTTAATTAATTGTCTTTGTCTAGTACATTTAATTTTAAAAGAATCCAATAGTTATAGTTACATTTCCATTGTATTTACTCCGGAATTCACCTAATGTTATGATTATTAACTATAATATATTACCAGTGGTGGCTCGTGAGCAATTTGTTTTAATAATATTTTAACTACCCCGTGAGATACTCTGAATAGAGTAAGGGCCTAACGAACCTGCGGACTTCAGTTACCATTAAACTCTCTATAAAGAGGTTTCTCGTAGAGCTAACCCCCTACAGTGTCAAAAACTTGGTTACGAAACAACCAAATAATATGCCTCGTATGAAAAATGTGGAACCTAAGGCTTTTATGACTAGAACTTGGAATGTACGAACGTTATAAAGGTCTGGATATTTGACGACAGCGATATTGGAATTTGAACGATATCGGCTGAACATTATTGCGATTGAGGTGACCGGGAAGAAGAAGCTTAAAAACTGGAAATTGGACGGTAATAGCAGGGGTACTGGGCACCTGCAGTTGGGCATTGGTTTCATTGTAAGTTACAAGATATTACCTAGAGTCAAGAAGTTTAAGGCAGTGAATGACAGAATCAGCTATATTCAACTGGAATGCCAATGGTTTAACGTGGTATTGATTAACGGGTATGCTTCAACTGAAGACAAAGAAAAAGAGGCGGAGAATATATTCTACGAAGACTTAGATAATGTGTGTGACTTGATACCGACCAACAAAGTGAAAATCCTACTGAGGGATTTTAATCCAAAAATAGGAGAGAAAATAATATACATACCAACAATTAGGAAGGAGAGTCTGCATAGAGCCTCAAACGATAATGGTATAATAATTAGTAAATTTTGCTATGACTAGAAAGTAGAAATATGGTAGTAAGTAGCACCACATTTCCAAACCTGGGTTTCACCATCAGGACATATAAGGAACCAAACAGACCATGTTAAAGTTGATTGACGGATCAAGATATGCATCACTGATGTTCGAAGCTTGAGAGGTAGCAGCGTAATGTCAGACCATTTTACAGTAAGAGCAAAAACCAAACTATGTTTATCAGTGGAATGGTGAACGGTGACCGTCACTATCAAAAGATTCAACACAGATGGCTTGTAAAATCAGGAGATAAAAAGACAATACAAGAATAAATTAAAATAAACCTTTTGTCTAATAGAGGAAACAAACAACGCAGATGCTCTATGGAATGAAACTGGAAACTCAGTAAAAACGGTGGACACAGGAGTCCAAGGATTTTAAGAAAGAATAACAACTAAAAAATGGTTTGATGAACAGTGTAAAATAACAAATACTGAAAGAGATATTGCAAGAACAAAAATGCTAAAATACCCAAGTGATTAGAATAGAAGATTAATCGCAATTAAGAGACGAGAAACAAAGCAAATATTTAGAAGGAAAAAAGGACATGGGAAAACTCTTGACTTGAAGTAATAGAGAATAGCTACAAAAATAACATAAACTCTTTTTTGAGAAGGCTAATAAGATTAAGGTTGGATTTAAGGCAAAATCAACAATTATAAAGAACGGAGAGGGATGACTAATAATGGATAAGGAAAAGGCACGGAAGAAAACATTAGCACGGTTGAACAGAAGGTAGTTGAACAGACGACAGAAGAAGTGAGATGGGCAGTAGATATGTTGAAAAATGGAAAGGCACCAGGAGGAAATGCAATTATTGCAGAGCTGCCGAAAGAGGGAGGAAAATACCTAATGGTACAGCTAAGACGGCTTATAGATATTGTATGGGGACAAGAAGAAATCTAAAAAAAATGGCACTTGTCAGTGTTATGCCTGATTCACAAAAGTAAGACCCTATGGTTTGCCAGAATTAAAGAGGTATATCTTCACTAAACACATCTTACAAAATAGTATCAATAATATTGAACCAAATCAAATAATACTCAAATGAAATAATAGGAGAATATTAGTTATGATTTACGCCAGGGAAATTGATAGTTGATCAAATACACACATTATAGCAAGTAGTAGAAAAAAGTCACGACATAGATATGTACCTATTATTTATCGATTTCAGACAAGCGTATGACTCCATAAATCAGTATAGGCTCTGGAAAACAATGACTTAACTTGGAAAAAACTGGTGAGACTGGTAAAGCCATGCGTTTTTTTATATTCCTAATTATTTTTGTTTATTAGTGTAAGTTAACTAGGAAAAAAAGAAACTTCTTACTTAAAAATAACTTCAAGTATGCAAATTACAAATCCGAGAAACATATATTTTGCACCAAACATTCGGATCAAAGCTCTTAACAATGTCGGCTTTCGATTCACTGAATATGCATTGGCTAACTCCGATCTCCATGTCCTAAATATGCGCCAAAACAAATACTATTTTACTTTAAAGTATTTGAAAAAACATTATAGTATTATAATTTAAAATTAATTTACTTTTCTAATTGGTCGCCTAATACTGATGCTGTGTGATCGTCTAATGTCGTATACAAATCTGTTTCAACTAAATCCCTATGTCGTCCTATTTCGAATAGGTTTGACATCCAGCTAAATAAATCATATAATAATTAAAAATCGGTAAAATTATGTTTTTTATAAATATGTGTATGGTAATATATGTATATACTATAGATACTTAATTTAAACATTATAAAAGCATTTTATCATAACCACATTTACTGGTTTAGAAAATAAAGGAAGCTCAATGAAAACGCATGTACATGTAAATGTATAGTGTTTCCTTATGTTTAATACTAGCTGTAAAATAAATTATAATTTTTAAATTATTAGTTGTTTAACTCGCAGTCGTAACCAATGTAAATGTAATTTAATTTACATTTTACTATGTATAATTTTATTGTATCGGTATTATAAAATATTGTTTTGTAGTATTAAGTAAGACACATATTATATAAACACCAACCATCAAGAAACGAAACATAAAATGTACTCATATTTACTACTTAGGTACTTATATCCACATAAATTGTCTAACATTATAATCTGTATATTTAATCACTATAAGCACGGCGCGGCGTTCAAACTTCAAAACGTATAGAGCCTATAATATGTAAATTAAGTATATTTTTTTGTGTTTGAAGTGTTTGGATACTTTGCTTGACAATTCGTATATTAATCCAATCTTATCTGAAAAACGTATCAAACTAGATTTATCGTAGTCTTGTATACATCGGTACTATTAATCTGTACAACTCACAATAGTATCTGACAATAATAATATAACTACTCAGTTTGATACCAAACCATTTAAATTATTCAAAATTATTATTAAACCTATGTGTACATTTTATATTAGTAAAAATTATTTTACAATTTAAACTGTCTCGAATATGTTATGCTTATAGGTTGCACTGTTTGGAATATGTGTATAATATATACTATATAATATGTATATATCTAATATATGTATATATATTAGGTTCTTTTCTAGGGAAGATTATTTTTTTTATTTTAGATTCTGAACGTAATTACACTGTTTGTTTGTTTTTCTAGCAGAAAAAATATACTAATCATCTGAACTGGATGTACAAAGTAGAAATTTGATCCAGTAAGTACTTTAAGTATAGATCATAATTCAGAATTTTCAGTACTTTTAGAAAAAAATTGTGAAAAACAAAATTCGTTTATTTGTTAAAATATTTATTTGGAAATCTCTGTTACCAAAAAGTTAGACTATCTTCACTTGGACCACCCTTAATTTTTTAAATCTATTTACGTCGATAAAAAATTATTTGGTATCGAAAAGTTTAAAATAGTAACTTTTTATATTGGAATACAAAAATATGTTAAATGATTTTTACTAAAACAAAATGTGTTTGGAAGTAAGATAAAATTGTAGAGGGGAAATACGTGAATTTTTTTTATATTTTGTAAATGTTCAATTGCCTGTTCTAGTTGCTATGGGGTTGGACAGTTTTCAAGAAGCGGCACCTACGAACAATTTATATTCATCAGTTATAATGAAATTTAGCAATATATATTTTAATTTAATCGAAATCAGAACATCATGATTTATATTTGAAATGTTTAGTAGTTTTACACCAACCATAAACAAATCATTTACTTATTTTTTAAATGCCAGTCTGTTGATATCTGTAATTTCCTTATTATAATGCAAGTGTATTTTTTAAATTTATTTACCTATATGTGATGATTTCAAAAATATTTGCATTACTCCTCGGGTTGTCAGGACGTTTTACTTTACTATCTGCCTTCAGTATTTCCCTTAAATAATAAAACAAGTAAATACAAATTGAGTTGGTTGTTATTTATTAGCGTAGACTATAGATCTAATATTTGAGTATACCTATTTCATAACTTACCGGTACATAATGTGAAGACTAAAGAGTACACCCAGTATGGTTGTTTAATTCGTTTTTTTATTTGTGATGAATATTATTTATTAGTGTTAAATTGTGTTCCTTGTGAAGGCATTTAAAAAAAAATAATGTTAAGTAGGTATTTCGATTACAAACAATTCATTAATGTAGGTACACTTACGACGATTGTCAAGTAGGTAACTGAGAGTAGAACGCACTGATTATTCCCACTTCCCATAGCCAGTTTTATTTGTAGTATTTAATCAGTGTTCATCATTTAGAATACCTACTGCAACAATAAATACTATACTTAGTATGAACCAATCAGTGCCCCCCCCCCCATGTTATGGTATAAATAGTGTATAATAAAAGGCAAAGTATAGACTATGATATTTCTAAAAACGGTTTAAAGAAACATTTTGAGTATGATCAATTTTTGTAGAGTTTGTTACGGTTACGGGATATAGCAATAACGACCCAGTATAATGTAACAGATATCAAATCTGATCTATTTTGTTTAGCATCTCATTCCCATTTTTTCCTTTAGTTATGCATTTACTCAAACACCTATTGATTTTTGGAATTTTTTAGTGTACCTGCAATTATTATGGTATAGGTATTATGGATACGCTCACACTCTCAATAAGCTTTCATCCTGCACATGCTGTACATACTGCATGCCAGTAAAAACCGCGAGCATGAGTGGTTGATAGGTTATCAAAATAAAATTGACAACCAGAATATTTTAATTACCCACACTTAAATACAATTATTAATCTACGATGTACGACCGTCTGTTTTACCTATTTGAGTCGCCGAAATTATAATAGATACTATTGGTGTTAATATTAATTACAAAATGATTAACTGCAGTTATCGGGATATCTCTTAAACTAGGTTTACACGGGGCGTGAATCACGAGATGAACCACGTTTTTGACCGCACGACCCAAGCGTGATTGAATCAAACACATTTAATCAATGGTTATACCATCGCTGCTTTATTTTGTTCACGAACAATGAACATGCTAATTAATTGCGCATACTTCTGACCACTCGAGTGACCGGAGTATTGGAACATGTGTATGGTGCCTATAAAATATTATGCGCTTAAAAACAGTGTTACTCCGTGGCTACTGTAAGAACAACAAGTACTTTTCAGTTACCCAACACAGAAAACTTTAGTTATTTTAATTTAATTTATCATCGCAGCCATACTAAATCATGCAATTTAATGGTTTATAAAATTAAAAAATTATTATTAATGTATTATTTCTGATGAAAAATAAGTTTAACTTTTAACGTTAGACACTTCGAAACATTTGTCATTAATAATTTTAGGTTTCTAAATATAAGACATAAGTGTAAAACACTTTATACCAATGTTGTGTACTTTCTTTAGTTTACACTTGTCAATTTGTAATTACAATTGTTTGTATTAAGGTTTTATAACAGTGGTCCTAGTCAAAGTAAATTCATAGGAGCTAGTATTAAAAAAACATCAAAATATTAGTATTTAATATAGATTCGTAGAAGCCAATATTAAACAAGTAGGTACCAAATAACTATTTTTAATTTGTATAATATGGAATTATAGTTTATTGTGCTGTATTAAAATATGAGACGCATATTCTGGTCTAGTTAAGTTAGGTCCGAGGCCTGCTTAAGGGACATCACGGGTTTGTTATTAAGAAGAGAGAAAAAATGAAAATAAATAATTACATGGTTAAATGGAAGATAATTTTAATAAGTTAGGGTCGCAAAATCCGAACGGCATTGTACATTATGTACGCTTGCAAATCACAGAATGAGCTTTTCTAACTTGTTTTATTTTACAGCTATATTATAATATTACATAAGAGAGTAAATTGTATATAATATGTTTGTTTAACTTTTACAGTCATTAAAAAATATAATTTCTAATTTTATCGTTCCATACTCACAGGTTTTTTTTTTAGGTTTTTACTCATATTTTTCACTCCATAAAATAATAATTTAAGTATTATTCTACTTAACTTTTATACAAGGTTTGATGTATCTGTACGTTTTATATTCATACATTTTGTATTTTCGAATATTAACCCAAGAGGCCAGTTGTATGCATTTATTTTTAATTATATTTAATGATTGTTCACAAAGAAAATATTCAAACAAATATTTAAAAAGGGGAAAATATAGTATTATATTTTGTAGTATTTTTATATAGAAGTTACTGTTATAAGGTTACTATGTATTTGTGTATACCATGGTATAATATTATATTTATGCAAATAAAATTGAACTTCAGTCCGGGTTTATCGGACTGTCGCTAGCATTTTTCACTTGCAACTGTACTCAAAGTTCAAGGTCCGGCTATCGGCTATCTCATTACAGCAATAAACCATGCCTTACAACATGTATGGTACGTGAGTACTGGAAGGTAAAATTCGACATGATTAGGGCCCTCTGGGCAGCAAACGAAACATATCTGCTTCGTCTACCTCCCCAGGACCCTCTGACAAGAAGTCAAAAACATTTGTTTCTTCAAACCGATTCTAAGTTCTGACGATGATTCATGCGATAGCGTATTTGCTACTCCTAATCACTTAACTGTAACTAGAATCAGACTCAAATCGACAACGTCAATAATGCAACCCGTGCTCAACCTATCTATATTAAAAACGTAACAAATTTCTCCTCATTTAAAAACAAATTAACACAACTCAAGAATATTAAAGGTTTCACTTGCAAGGCCATGTCATCATATCTAATCGTTCGACCTAAAGAGCCGAATAACACTAAAATAATACTTGATCACCTGTCGAGTTCAGCCACTGATTTCCATACATGCTCGCCCTCTCAGGATTGTAATCAGAAACTTACGTCACTCTACACCAAGTTCTGATGTTATCGATGCGACGATGTTCTAACCGAGCTTGGCCACTCGGTTAGACATGCTGAAAATACCAAAAAGAACAAATCGCCGTTATTTTTCGTTGTCCTTAATATTAAAAATAATAACGCGGACATTTTCAACATTACCAAGCTATTACACACCTGTGGTCAAAAAACCACGTATGTCTCACACCAGCTTACGGTCACACAAAAACGTTTTGTTCTCACAAACCTCGCTGTGTCAAATACGGTGATGAACATCTATCAGAAACGTATTCCAAAGACAGTATTCCTGCCAAATGTGCTCTCTGCGCAGGTGCGCACACATCATCTTATAAAGGCTGCTTAGTTTTCAAAAATCACGCCACCTTATACAAAAAACGCAAGTTGGGAATAAAATCAATTTCCCCTCCTAGGCCAACCAAGTCCGTACTTACTACTTTTTGAGAACCATTGCAGTTCTAATCATCATAGTACTTAACGCTGCCGTCACAGCCAATTAACCACCATGTGATCCATCAGATAAACTATCCAAAATTATCATCGAAATGTCAAACATCGTTAGTCCATTAATTAAGTGACTTTCGATGGTTCTAGATAAACTAAACTGCACCTTATCTACTTCTCAGCCTTCAATATTTTCAACTATTTATTTTATTACTATATATATTTATTGCTATTACTACTTTTATGATGAGTAATATTGTTACATGGAATGTATCCTTAATATTGTAATTGTTGAGTCATAATAGTCTACGACAGAAGGCTTTTCATAAAAAAAAAATTGAACTATTCTTACTAGTCTAGCTAATTATGATAATCTATTCGAAAAAACGGGCAGCAACAATAATGCAACATGAGCTTTACTTATAAAAATTAAAAGTCGATTTATTTTTACAACACTCGACAACGGACAAGATAATATCAACATTTTATGAATAACACGCAAAAAACGTATAATATTCAAATACGATTAAGGTGAGACAAATGTTATTATATCAGTTAGGTATATATTAAACTTTACAAATGACTTTTATTTTAAAATTTAAATTGATATGATTATATGAAACATCGTGAAATATATTGTGCTTGGCCGAAATGGGTGTTCCGTGAAGGCATGAGGATGTTGCTTCGTCACGAGGGTGTTGTCTATACAGATGCGATTAATAAAGAAACCGGTTTTATTTACATTGAGTTCAAATGTTATACTTTTTAATAAAAAAAACAGTAGATTAACATTTGTAGATGTGATTAATTAATACTCTATATTAATGGTTATAAAATATAAAAAAAATTTTAGTTAATACATTTCGAATAAAATTCATTCTGGAAATATTTGTATTATTAAAAAGTCTATGGCATGATAGTAAATATTAAATATTTAAGCAACGTTTTCGAATATGTGTATAAAAAAAAATACATAATAAATAATAATATGAATACATCATAATTAATATTGTACATTTTATAATCGCGTTGACGCAATTCTGAGACTATTTTTTCCCTCGAGAGTATTTGAATGACTAACTCTCTAGTTTCGTTCATTAGATTATAAACAATATTAAAAACGAAAAATTGCTTGTAAAAAACAATAATAATAAACGCATCGTGACTACTATCAATTATCATATATCTATAGGTATACAAAGACATATAGCTATATGGTTACAGGTAGTCCATAGGGTAGTCCTTATATTTAATTTTATTATCATGATAATGAAACTATTTAAAATAAATATGTTGAAAAATATAAGTGTCTAGCATAATTATTACATATTTGTATTTTGTAGTATGATTACAGTGAAACCTCTATAAATAACTTTTAATTAACAATATGTTCTGTTTAACTAAATACTTTTGATAACCAAAATAATATGTATTTAATTTTAGTTTTACGAAATTCTCCATAATACAATTTTTTTTTTGGTCATAAGACCATATGAGACTTTATTATATAAATGTTTCTCTGTACAAGGTTATATAACTATAAATAACATTGAAAAACTTAATTTGATTTGCAAAATGTTATTATATAGGTTGTTATAGCAATGGATTTAATGCAGCAACAAAACCTTTAAAAAGCATTTTTATTCTTAAAAAATTTACTTAAAAATGCATTGTCCGTATAGTATACATTGTATATACACCCAGAAAAATAAATTCAAGATTCAAAATATAAAATTTGTTAGGATCTAGCAAGCTGTATTAAGGGAAAAACTATATTTTCATTTTTAAACCATTTACAAAAACGTAAGTAAATGACAAAAATTAAAAAATATTTCATAAAATGTTCAAAAGATTTTCATAAATAGGATTTGTAAAAAATAACCAAAACGTAATAAAGAATGAAAAATAGACCTAAATGCAATGAAGATTTTAAGTTAAGT